AGTGTACATCCTCTGGTCTAGCCAGATTTGTAAGGTAGAATTGGGATCATGATAGTGGGGAGGGAGGAAGCATTTACGACCTAGAGGAAAGTTGTGTGTTTTCTCAATGCTACACTGCACACTGACTAACTCGTCTCCTCCCTATGACCCCTCTCCAAAGGGATGTCCAGTTGCCTACAGATGGGTCTTGGGTCCCCACCCCACACACCCCCTCATTCACGATGATATGATTTTTTTGTTCTTTGATGCCTGATACCTGATCCTTTGGACACCTCTTGATCACAGAGGCAGGTGTGCTTCTTCCATGTGGGCTTTGTTACTTCTGGGATAGATGGCCGCTTGGTTACCTACAAACCTTTAAGACCTCAGATGCTATATCTCTGGATAGCCAGGCACCATCAGCTTTCTTCACGACACTTGCTTATGCACCCATTTGCCTTCAGCGATCGTGTCCGGATGGTGAGCATCATGGAATGTCAGTTTAATAGAACAAAGGTGTTCTTGTATTGAGGGAGTACTTGAGTGGAGCCCAATGTTCGCCTGCTACCTTACTACTAAACCTATAAATATATGTACGTAGATCTATTCCCCATCATCATATATAAATACATTTACATATGTACAAGCCTGTATTTAGACCTCTATATATGACCTTTGCCTCCTAGTTCTTTCCTCTATTTTCTTTTACTTTCCACTTGTCACACTATCATGCTCAGCCTTCATTTGGTTTTCTGTGCTTTTCAGTGCTGCATAGTGCTCCATTGCATGAGTGTGCCAGAGTTTACTAATCCACTCATCTATCAATGGAAACTCAGGCTGTTTCCAAATGTTTGCGATTGTGAAATGCACTGCAGGAAACATTGGAGTGCAGATGACTGGCCGTGTTTTATTTGTTACCGCCTCTGGGTATATGCCCAGGAGAGGGATGACTGGGTCATAACGTAGGTCAATTTTCATTTTCTTTAAGTATCTCCAGATTGCTTTCCACAGTGGCTGTACAAATCTAGATGGCCACTAGCAGTGGAGGAGGGTTCCTACTTCACCACAGCCCCTCCAACACTTGTTGCTCTCTGATTTGCTGATTTGGGCTAGCCTCAGGGGTGTTAGGTGGTATCTCATGGTTGTTTTGATTTGCATTTCTCTTATGGGTAATGATTTGTAACACTTTCTCATATGCTTTTTGGCCATCTGGGTCTCCTCCCTAGTGAAGGCTCTTTTCAGTTCTTTTTCCCACTTCCTTAGGGGGTTAACTGTTTTCCTCTTTTTGCAGGCCATGAGGGTGTTGTAGATTTTGGTAATGAGCCCTTTGTCTGATGTGTCATTACTAAAAATCCTCTCCCAGTCTGTGGGTTGTCTTGTCACCCTCTTGGTGAAGTCTTTTGAGGTGCACAGGTGTTTTATTCTTATGAAATCCCATTTATTGATTTCCAGTTCACCTGTGTTTGTACCCTTCCTGATTTCAGTGAGCCTGTGATTTCCCTGAGCCAATGATCTTAGGTTTGTCCCAATTCCCTCCTTGATGATCCTGATGGTTTGGGCTTTCATTTCTAGGTCTGTGAACCACCTTGAGTTTATTCTTGTGCATGGGGTGAGGTAAACATCTTGTTTCATTTATCTACATGTGGATAGCCATTGTTTCCAGCACCACTTGTTAAAAATGGCATCCACTCCCCACTTGATGGTTTTGGGACTCTTGTCAAAGATCAGTTGTCTGTACGCTGATGGTTTTTATTCCTGGGCTCTCTAATCTTTTCCACTGGTCTGAGTATCTGCTGTTGTGCTAGTACCACACTGTTTTGACCACTGTAGCTGTGTAATAGGCATTAAAATCAGATAAGGCCATTCCTCCAACTTTGTCCTTCTCTGCTAATTCTGGGCTTCTTCCTTCTCCATATGGAATTGGTGATCCGTTTTTTCAATTGTTTGAAGAAAGTTGTTGGTATTTGAATCAGAATAGCATTGAACTTTTGAAGTGCTTTGGCTAAGATTGTCATCTTTACTATGTTGAGCCTTCCATTCCATGAACATGGGATGTCTTTCCATTTGTGGATGTCTCTTTTGGTTTCCTGTAGTAGGGTCTTGTAATTTTCCTTGTATAGGTCTTTAGCTTTCTTTTGTTAAATATATTCCTAGGTATTTCAGTTTGTTCTTGGTTACTGTGAAGGGCACTGCCTTCTTGATCTCCTCTTCCATGGTCCTGTCCCATGTGTATAGCAAACCTACCCACTTGTGTCTGTTGATCTTGTGTCCTGCCACTCTTCGGTATTCCTCTATCGCTGTAAGTACTCCTCTTGTGGAGCTTTTGAGGTTTTCAATGTACAGGATCATGTTGTCTGCTGCCAATAATGATAGTTTCACCTCCTCCTCTCCCATTTGGATCCCTTTGATGTCCTTCCACTGTCTTATGTTGTTAGCCAGAACCTCCAGTACAATATTGAATAGGAGTGGGAATATGGGTCATCCTTGTCTTGTACCCTTGTTCAGTGGGATTGTTTTTGTCTTTTCTCCATTTACTATCATGTTGGCTGTTGGTTTTTCATAGATACCTTATATCATCCTGAGGAATTTACCTTCCATTCTTATCTTCGTGAGTGTCTTAATTAGGAATGGATGTTGGATATTGTCAAATGTTTTTCTGCATCTATGGATATTATCATATGGTTTTTATCCCTTTTTCTAATCGATATGCAT